TTTCGGTTCCTGAATTTACGTCATATCATATCACGTGACAGCCCCGGCACTCGTTCCAGATCCCATGTTGCTCGGTACTGGACCAAATTATCCTCCAATTCAACAGGTCACAGAAAATCGAGGATTTAACCAAATCCAAAAATCCAAAAATTTTTTCACAGATATACTCAAGAAAAGCAAGCACATTCATTTAGGCGAATAAAAAAATTTGGGGTTAGGTGCACTTTAACAATGCCATTTACAGTCCACTAACAAGCTGGCTGATGATACTCTTCCCCGTTAAGAGGCCTTTTACTCCCTAGAAGAGGAAATTCCATCTTCAGTTCAGCGATTTGAGATGCGCAGTGGAAAGAGCTTTTGGCACGCAAAAAATTACAATGGAGAATGAATTTTGAAGAAAATTGAACAAAAAACGACACCCTTGAAGAAGACTGTAATTGTAGCTTGTGTTTTACACATTATTTGCATTGAAAGGGGTGACCCACACGACACAGGTTATAGCAACAATATCTGAGATTAAAACACCTTGTGTGGGAAAGCCTGTAAAGAACAAATCCTTAATGAACTGATGCCCAATATAATCAAAAATGTGTAAAACAACAAGGTTAATTTTAAAAATGAGCCATTTGTGTGATTTACTTTTAATGTAATAATTTAATTGTACAATATATGATTATACAAATGCATTATATAAAAAGTCAAAAGTCATTGGCTTAAATGTTGTCTGTTCTATAATATTTAAAACCCGTTGAAAATAATTATCTTTGATTCCAGCGAGAATGGCATTGCACTTCAGAAAACATTTCAGCGGACCTTTTGNATCACTTTCTGCCTCCATCTCATACTCTGAATCGGTGCAGCTTACCGCTGAATCTTCAGAGGACGACATTGCAAAATATGGTTAAATTATAACTTCTGGTGACCGAAATTTGGCTCGAAAGTTGCTTCTATGTCTTCCACACCACGCAAAGGTGAGATAAATTGCTTCGCGATGCTTTGCTTGCGGGAATTTCGGTTCCTGAATTTACGTCATATCATATCACGTGACAGCCCCGGCACTCGTTCCAGATCCCATGTTGCTCGGTACTGGACCAAATTATCCTCCAATTCAACAGGTCACAGAAAATCGAGGATTTAACCAAATCCAAAAATCCAAAAATTTTTTCACAGATATACTCAAGAAAAGCAAGCACATTCATTTAGGCGAATAAAAAAATTTGGGGTTAGGTGCACTTTAACAATGCCATTTACAGTCCACTAACAAGCTGGCTGATGATACTCTTCCCCGTTAAGAGGCCTTTTACTCCCTAGAAGAGGAAATTCCATCTTCAGTTCAGCGATTTGAGATGCGCAGTGGAAAGAGCTTTTGGCACGCAAAAAATTACAATGGAGAATGAATTTTGAAGAAAATTGAACAAAAAACGACACCCTTGAAGAAGACTGTAATTGTAGCTTGTGTTTTACACATTATTTGCATTGAAAGGGGTGACCCACACGACACAGGTTATAGCAACAATATCTGAGATTAAAACACCTTGTGTGGGAAAGCCTGTAAAGAACAAATCCTTAATGAACTGATGCCCAATATAATCAAAAATGTGTAAAACAACAAGGTTAATTTTAAAAATGAGCCATTTGTGTGATTTACTTTTAATGTAATAATTTAATTGTACAATATATGATTATACAAATGCATTATATAAAAAGTCAAAAGTCATTGGCTTAAATGTTGTCTGTTCTATAATATTTAAAACCCGTTGAAAATAATTATCTTTGATTCCAGCGAGAATGGCATTGCACTTCAGAAAACATTTCAGCGGACCTTTTGTATCTGGCGTTGTCCTCTCGAATACTACGCTCCCACATTTCAAAATCCTTGACTGTAATTCAGGAACAATGCCACTTTTTTTCACATCTTTTCTCCTCCTTTTGGCCTTAATTTCATGATTTCCATGTAATTATCTTTTTTTTCCTGCCAATGTCTGTGGCCGTAGAAGGAGTTTCTTCAATGGAACTATCTAGCTGGCTTATGGTTGCATCTGCAGCTGCATGTGAAGCATCACTTTCACCATTTGGAAACATGGTGTTACTCTCGATAGCCATTTTCGATGGGTCAAACCTATCGCGACGACCCATCACCTCATCAAAAATTTCGACGTATGGAAACCTTGTCAGGAATCATCCCCGTATTCACAGAAATCCACGACAATTCACTTGATGTAGCTTTAATCTCAATTTTAATCTCACTCACTCCAGATATTTTCGGCACAACAACTTGGTTTAGATTGCATGACCTTGTCTGCTCGACTCGCTACACATGAAACCTAACCTATATTCGTATAAAGTGATTGACATTTAGTGTATATTATTTCGTTGATATCAATTAAGAAACCCCAACATCTTATCAGTTATCACAGTTCACTTCGTGACTGTTCCTTGAACTTACTGGAGATCATGAGCTAATTATTTAGCAATCAACATTGTCATCAACTTGGAATATAACAAAGCGAATGAATAAAATATACTATGAAATATGTAAACACTATTGGCGCACAATTCCCAACAACCTGTCCTTAACTGATTTTATTTCAACTTCTCCAGTCGAATGAGTGCATTGCCTTATTTGCTTAACTTTATAGTCTAGATTCTTCTGTCGTTTTTTAACCTGAACTTGGGCACTTTCACACTCCAGATGGCATTCTTAATGTGTGGAATAGATATCACTCTATAAGGCTATTTTCTCGCACTGCAAAGCACCTTGTAGTTTCTCGTACTTCGGGCCCCATGCTTGTAAAAGATCAAATGGTTCTGTTTCAGTTCAGTTAACAAACTTGACACGCGATTTATTTCCTTTGCTGGTGTTGGGTATTTCAGAATCACTTGAGGAAGCAGAACCAGGAGATGACAGAGGAGTGGCATTGGTGATTGTGTTCGACAGGGCACCGTCGAGGTTGTAAACTGATTTGTTGCTGGATCTCCTTGTCGAGTGTGAAGTTCAGAGGGATAGGAAAATAGAGCACTTGCAGCTGGGAAAGACCATTATTCCCCACTGATCATCGACTGTCCTGATTTTTTTCTTGCAAACCGTCAAGTTATTGCTATGATTAAACTATAAAATTAATTACGTAAGCGTATGATTTTTAGATCAGAGCTTAGAGGTCTGGTATACTTACACAAGGCCTTGGTCAAGAAGGTCATCAGTGATTGATTTTCCATCTGATAAATGCACAAGCTCCGAAGGCTTTGTTGGATGTAGCGTGACAAAACAGCCAACAATTGGTGATGCTACCGCTGGTTTCCCTGCCAAATGATGTCTGAGAAACGAGCAGAGAAATTCCGTACTGATGACGTGTGAATTTATTTGAGGAATTCAAATTACCGAAGAACTGTGAAATCAATATGCTCATCAAAACGTTTTGTGGGCTATTTGAATTGATATTTGGGCTAGTAAATGTTAGCTTCAGCTTGCCTGAATGGCAAGCTGTAAAAATGACTTCGTTTGCACCCTGGGTCAGGGATATTTCAGAGGTCACTTGATTCAGGTCCCCCATTTCTTGGAAGAAACAAACCCACTCTTCACGTGCTGGTGGAGGCAGCTCTTGATCCCACTCCAAGCCTTGTTGCCACAAATGCTGCATTCCAATTTTGGTGCAAACGAAGAGGCTGCTGGGAATTCAACGGGATGAAATATTCAAGCAATGTGGCTGATTATTGTTCCCTCAAACAGAGTAATGTCATTGGGCAGGTTTACATCGAACAGGAGCACGTCTTTAACAAATTCCAAACAGTTTCTAGTATTTTCTCTTATGTTGAGTCTTACGGTAATGCTGCATTCCACTTTTGGCGCCAACTAAGAGGCTGCTGGGAATCCAACTGGATGAAATATTCAAGCAATCTGGCTGATTATTGTTCCCTCAGTTAGAGTAATGTCACTGGGCAGGTTTACATCGAACAGGAGCATGTCTTTATCATAATTCCAAACAGTTTCTAGTAGTTTCTCTTATGTTCCATCTTGCAGTAATTCCATTTCAGAGTTCTCTTGTCTGGTAATTCCATTCTCCAAAGACTGGTTTGAGAGCCATCCCTTGATTTGAAATCCACCTTTCAGTAATACTTGATCCTGCTCAGTTGTCAGTTGCTTGGCCTGCTGAACGGAATGAAGTGAATCACAAATGTCGTCCATGTAGGTATTGTTCTTCAATACCTGGGCAGCTTCAGGATGCAAACCTTTTGCTTGGTCTGCAGTTTTTCTTGAGGCGATCTGTGCCATAGTGGGCGAATTGAATTACAGATCCTTATTGGTAAATTAAAGAAAACACTAGCCTCTTCAGTTGTAGGCGATCATCTTCAAAGTGACAACTTTGCTGAGCTCTCTTTTCCCAAAACATATGCTGCTACTCACTTTCTGTCCAAGATGTCACAAACTGCACAAATCGTGAACCAAAGCACAAACGGTCATAGCTTTACTTAGTTCAAACTTCTCAAGAACCACATAGTCTATCAGTGTCATCAACAACAACCTTACACAACTCTTTAGTAGCTTTCAGCACTGCTCTACTTTCCACAGAGGATAGCTTGTTGAGGAGGCCAACATTCACTACCTGCCACCCACTCTAGATCCTTCCCCCAAAGCATACTAACCGCAATATTACCACCCCTGCCTCCTACACAAGAAAACTGGGCTGATCTTGCAACATATCTCTATGTTATCTCTGGGTGACCACGTAACTTCTGAACCAGATTCTCCTCAAACTGTTTGTTCTGCCACCACCACCAATCCAAACTAGAGCTACTGTACCATTTGGCCATCCATTTAGTTCAGCAGGCAATCCCTCCAATGCAACTCTTTTGTTTACTAGCAGATTTGTCACCGTATTTGACCTCTCACGAGGAAACGTTGTTTACGGTTTGCCCTTCATATGCCATGCATTAACTGTTTGAAAGCATTGGGCATTTGTTTGAACGGCTTGGGCTATCCATGCGAAAAAATTGTCATACGTTCACACTTTTCGAGCCATCTGATCAAAACAGTCATTATTGTCAGCTGCAGATTTCACTTGAGCCATTTGTGACTTGGTCACTCGGTCAGGAGTCACACAACAAACCTGTCAAAAAATGTAAATAATTTGATACAAGCGTTGTGTTAACCAACTTAATGAATTGTCAGGGTATGTGTTCTGCTGAATAGCCTCCTTGGCTTTTAAACAACAAATGATAAACTACATCCTGGCTTTCTATTCTCATTAAATACCTCTGCTTGCCTGTTTACAATGTCCACTTGCCTAACTCTTTCCCCTATTTGTTCGTGATGTGGGGTGGCGAGCTGAGGACGAGACAACTTGCAATTTCTGTCGTGTCAACTGGAGAACTAAATACTTGTAAAAAATAAATCCACATTGTTTCTCTGAGTGCTTCCTTATAAATCGTGTTAAGGCTATGTTGCCAGGCATTTATTTCATTATGTACAAGCTCTGGCCTTTGTGAGTTGGCAAATTCGCCTATTCTAGGTTCCTTAAGCTGGCGAAAGCCATTGTTAGCCATAAATCCTAGTGTTTTTTCGGTGGCCCTGGGTTGGGTTAAGATCTTTTGGAAACGTCTTTTGGAAGGCTTGAAGTTTACCCAAGTCTTCTTGGCGTTTTTCTTGCGTGTGCACTTGCCATGTACAGTTACTATCATTCCCTATAGTTCCTCCCATCTTAGACAACTGCCCTTTATGAACATTAGCATAAGGTGAGGGATATGTTTCTGCATGGTTCAGGTCATTTTTAGCCCAGCTTTGCCATGACTGATCTGCGCTTGGTTGAAATTCAAGTGTACACTGCTGACCACGAACAGTCAAAATATTCCCCTCCAACACCCTCATCTCGTTGTGTGCTGCTTCCTGATGTCTTCCATTACTGACTCCTTCTCTGAGACACTCAGAAAATTGAGTAAGTAATGGAATTCCCAACTCCTTACCCTTGATCCTAAGTTCCAGCATGTCAATGTGCCAATGGACATTGCCAGTTCACTGGTCTCTGGAGCCCTGTCGTTAGAAAACTGAAAAATAAAGTGGTACTTGTAACCGAGGCAATCGCAAAGGCGAGTCCAGAATCATAAAAACCAATCCTGTGACTGTGCGTGATACTCCAGGATAGTGTGATATTTGGCAGACATGACCAATAATGAGACTTTTTACAAAATGATCAACTTTCAAATCACTGCCATTTGGTAGGGCTATTTCTGCATCCATGCATTTTATGTTCCTCAGAAGCCAAACTTCTTGCTCTGCATCATATACTGAGCTCTGCATCTTACAAACTAAATTAAACTTGCGTCTTGACAGGTAATTGTGGAACTTCACGGCTACTGCTTGTTTTAAAGCTTCTTTGTTGAAATTGTTGAAACGCTTTACAGCCTTTCCAAACACTCCCTGTAAATACTTCCCCCGTTTGTAACTTGAAATCAGTTTATCTATGATTTCTTTGGAAGCAAAAGAAGCAAAAAAGTCCCATGCACCAAAAAGGGCCCCCTCATCTCCACCATGGATGTACTCTAGCATTTCTTTTGTTTCCTACCAACGTCTGTATCTGGTCCTGCTTTCGAAATCTGGGAAATACCCCAAATGTGGTTGCATTTTGGGTCTGACTTGCTCTGCCCTGCTACGTTTGACCAAGCAGAAGCTTAAATCTGTTATACTCTTTCTTTAGGAGCTCCAGATCATCTTCGTGTTTCTTAGCCTTCTCTTGAGCATCTTTAAGTAATTGTTCTGATGGCAATTAAGCAAATGCAGGTTGATTAAATAAAATGACACAACAGTCAAGACAAATTATGATGCTTTTACTGCAGACACTTCACCTCGTGAACAATAATACATTGACTGGGCATATATACTCTTCTTTCCAAAGTGCCTTTCAGTGGGGAATACACCTGACAAAAGAAAGCAATGGAGCTTTTGAAAAATACCCTAAACACATAAACTTCAATATAAACAGAGTAGAAAGCTAGATCTATATTTTTTTTATTTTGGTCTCAAGTAAAATTAATTTCATGCTGACACAAAAGATGTGTGGAAAGTCATGCCTGTTCTAAAATGCTGCGCACAGTCACTTTCCATTGTGTTGAAGCATGGTTTTATAAAGTATTAGCGTACATTACGCCTTACCAGCTTCCATTTGTTTTGCTTCTACTTTTTCTTCGCGTCATTCCAAGTCGGTAAATCTTGCACTCTTTCTTTCATAATCTGATATAAGCTGTTCGTTGGTTTCAGCACATTCCCTCTTCAAGCTGTTCCGAACTTGATGTCGTGAAGTCTCCCAGAAGGGGTGAAATTGTCTGTCTTTGTTACACTTGCCTGAATGTCTGTCCTGCCTTCTACATTTACAAGATTTTTAACACAATTTTTCCTCCCTAATAGAAGCAAATTCGACAAGGAATCTACTGAGACTAAAGCTCGGAATTTAAGGAGTTCAAGATGGAGTCAGTGAGCAGTATTGCGTTTCAAAACAGGGGTTTATGCGTAAAGAACTAACGTAGTTCAGCGCTGGAGGTTGCCATTATCCTAAACCTTCATCTGAATTTGAAAAGCCTATGGCATCACAGAATATTTTTGTTTTAATGCATTTTTTAAATCTTTAAGTGGGATATGAGTGCAGTTTTTGTCATTTCTTCTCAAGAATTGAATCTGAAAAGCAGCAGGTCAAATTCACATCGTTTATTACCTCTGTTGCTATGGGAAAATCAATAAAACAATGTGTTGGGATGTTTTGATTTGCTGCATAAACCCAACATTTGCCTAAAAGTAGGTCCCTGAGTGAGAAGTGCCATTGTTTTCAGTACTAAATGGCTACTTACTCCCTCACCCACAAGCTAGTTATATTTATTAATAGCTAACCAATCACAAGGTAAGAATTCCCTTACTTTATGACAAAATCAACAAAAATAGCTTTTGACTTTCCGGCTTCGAAAATATTTCAAATGATGCCATTTTAATTGGTGGCATCATCACGTGACCCCAGAATGGCACCTGGGAGGCTTTTCCCTAGCAACAAGCCATCGTGATCCATGACTGTAAAATTAGCTCAAAACCATAGACAAATAGAAACACTGTAGTTATCCTTGTAAACGAAGCCATAAACAATCAGTAAGGTCCTTGAGGTCGTGAAATAACTAAAATGGGAAATGGCCGCACATGACATCCGTTAATAACACAAGGCTGAATGACTCACAAGTATCACAACACGATCATCACAGATCCGTTAATAATCCATAGCATGAAAAAAAAAGTGAAACAAACAGCGGACCAAAATTTTTGGGAAATTGTTAGAAAACTTAAGTTTATTTCACAGAGGCCTCGTGCACGTCAGTGTCGAGGTGACTTGTGCATGCTCCTAATAAAAGAAAGGGAAAACCAGAAACCAGCGGTTAAACTCCATTTGTTACTGTAATAAGAGGGTAAGAAGGGTGCAAGTTCTCGAATAGCAGAGTAACTGTCGAGTCCCTTTAGGTACACGACTGATTTCTTGGTTTCTTGAGTCATGACATACAAATCACGAAACTCTTGGAGCTCTGCACTGTTTACGCACGGCGATCAGTTTCTCATATAAGCATATAGGCATCTTTTGTCCGTAATCCTAACAGGCCGCTGATCATTTTTTGTGCTGCTCTGTTGGAGTATTCACCAAGATAAAAAAGCTGGTGTGTGGGAATAACAACTTGATCTTCTATCTGGGCATCAAGGGTGTTTTTCCACTTTGGGTACTCTTGAGATGTTTCCATCGAATACTGGAGGCTTTGGAACTCGCATGGTCATGCTTTGAAGCAATTCAATTTGTGTTCTCTTTATTTCGGCGTTTTCTCCTGAATGTGCCAAAGCAGAGAATTATACTGCTGGAAGATTCAGTCCTCATTGGTGATTGCAGGGGGTCTTGGGGAACAAAGGCGGGTGTGTTAACGTTGAGTGTGATGGTTGAGGGACGTTCTGTTTGCATATACTGTGGCAGCAATGAGTGAGGTGTCACTTGACAGGTTTCAGGAGGAAGATTTTTTAATGCATTGCATGTAGATCTCGCTAAAGGAGACAGTTGTTGACTATGTGCTTGCAGGATTCTCTGGTTTGCGGGCTTAGGGGGATGGGTAGGCGGTATTTTCGAGTTGCCATAAAATGTGTTAAACAGATAAGTAGCAAACAAACCAATATATTGCAATCTAATGAGCCTGTCGTCGTTTAGAACATCCATTCCTTTTGTAAACAAATTCACACGGGGCAAGAAATGCATGTAAGGTGGGATTGAGCGTTTGCCTACTATCTGGTTATGAACTTTCGATTTTGTGGATGTTGGGATATCAGGAAGTGGACAGAGAGTGGGGTACAAAATTCTGCTCAAAGAAAATCTGGTCAAGGCTTCAGTGATCATCACTAATAGATCTAAAACAATATCCTGTACTGGGGTTCTTACTGTTAAATTGTTTGTGCTGGTGTGAATTAATAGGATTTGAAGTGCACCATGAATATCATTTTGCAATGAATTCTGCACGTTTCTAATTATGAGTCCTTAAGGGTCAGTGACGTAAAAAGGGGAGAGCCAAAGAAAATATTCGCATGCCAAGGAGAGGCCATGGACAACTGAGGGTAACAATGATTACTCATCCCCCCAGCCCTGGTGGGGTTATGAAACTGAAGAAGGAAGAACACAGATTCTCCTTTCATCTATAAATTTTTATTTAATTGTATTGTATTAACCGTTATGATTTGGCAAAGTTTGGGTGGCAGGGAAGGCAGAGCCTATGCCCCTTAGGGTAGGGATGTCCCTGGGAGGACTCCCTAAAGTAGCGGTGTCTCTAGAGGCAACCCTACATTAGGGTGTAACAAAGGGTGGACAAGAAGAGGGGTGCCCTGCTGGAAGGAGAATAGGTCAGATGGTGAGTTGTACCATCTTGGAGTGAGGAATCCGGACCTATTACCAAGGAGGGCTATCCCACATGCAGTAGGGTAAAGTGCTGCCCAGGGTCCACTTCCCTGCCACCAATAAGTAAGTAAGAAAAGTAAAAGGTAGAAACACCTAGGATTTAGTTTTTATATCGAGCTAATGGCGGTGGCAATATGGCTAACGCGGCAGCAACATAATGAATAATATAATGTAACAAACTATGAGACAAAATAACCAAATTAACATAGAAATGTGCAGGACAAAGCACTACCATAGCCATTAAAGAAGACAACTTCCACTTGCTTCCAATCTTAAAGAGTGTGAGTTTAGGCACTTGCTTGAAGAACAAAGCTGAAATGTGGCTGACTAGTGGTATGAGGGGTTAACATAAGGTGAGACAGGTGAGGATCATGGAAAAGTACTGGAAGCTTTTGCAACCACTTTAACATTGTAAAAGTGAAAGTACTTTGAGCTAAACAGTGAGCTATTGACTACTGCATGAGCCTGATTGCAAGGGTGAGGAGAGTAAAGTACACTAGGGACAAGTGAGGAAAGAACTAGTACTCCCTTAGGGCTCATTAACCGCAGTTAAGAGCTTAATTAGCTTATTGGGCATCTGAATTGCTTGACGTTGTAGATTGCAGTGTTTTCTGTTGTATTATTAGATTTGGACATGGACATTAGTTTGCTAGTTAGTCACTAGTCACTAACTGAATCTGAAGGAACATTTTCTCGATTCAACTATTGGCCAGCTACTCTAGGTTTACAAACTAGGACATCATGCTTTGCCGGAACAGATACTGCCATTTGATCCAGCTTATTCCGGGACTGGTCATTAGGCTCATTGCGAAGTGATTGGATGACCACCTTGGCTTGCGTGTGTGTTTGGGGTAGGTTTAGGTCAATCCTTTGAAGATAGTTGGTAAGAGGCACAATAAATTGTAGCAACCATTCACAAACTCGAACTTGAGCATGGTTTGGATAAATCCCCTTGCGTTTGAGTCTTGCATGTTGTCATGGACTTTTAAAACCTTTAAGATCATGTCAAATGATATCTTAAAAGTACACAAAGTGTCAGCTCCCCAGCTCTCA